TGCAATTCATCAATGTCTGTCAACCTAAACTTCTGACCCACTGTCCAATTCTGATCAATAATGCTGATCCTTTCTTCTCTAGGCCTAACCAGCCTACATTGAATTTAGATATTTTAGTACCAGATTGTGACTTCTGATTCACACTTGTGGGCCTTTATGTAGACATGCTACTGCTCTCCGATTGCTTCATTGAGTCCACTCCTGGATCCATTGAGTCTCCAAGAACTTCAACCACTGCAGAGTACACTCTCTCTTTCCTCTCCTTACTTTGCTTCAGCATACTAGGTCCTCTTTCCTCATTATGCTGCTCTGTCCTGTCATAAAAAATAAAAACCCTTGAAGAGGAAAGACATTGAGAAAACATGGGAGGAAAGGAGTTGAGTAAAAGAACTGTCAACACCTCATAGCACATAGACAATTAGAAGGAAATGAAGTTCTCTGAATGTGGTTATTTCCTCAGTGGCTTCCTTTTCTCCTATCATTCACCAATCCCAATCCTATATAATAAAAGCCTAATATCCAAATCAACTGAACGGTGGAACAACTGGTCGCTATGATGCAAACTGACCATGAGGTGGCAGATACTCAATGCAGGAGCTGCCCTTGGTGGTCAGTGCACTTCCATAGGGGGAATGCCACTCAGCCAGAAGCCAGGCTCATGGCTGGCGAGCACAGCGGCAGTGGAGGGAGCCTTTTCCGCCTCTGAGGTAGCATTAAGGAGCAGTGATATGGCCTGTGGTAAGGGCAAGGGGTCACGGACATCTCCTGAGAGCCAGGCTGAGGGACCCCCACCCCTCCAGTGCATAAATTTCATGCACTGGGCCTCTAGTTTATACATAAAGGCCTCAAGGGTAGGGATTTTGTCTTATCTATTGTTCACTATTAGTTCTCTAAATTTTTCCCAGTGTCTGAACCACAATAGAAGCTCAATACACATTTGCTGGTAAATGAATGAATAAATAAATGAATGATGCCATCATTTGAGTACCGTATTTTCCGGCGTATAAGATGGCCCCCTAATTTTACAATTAAAACATAGGTTTAGGCCTATATTAGCTGTATAAGACTACCCCCCACTTCCGAGGCAACACCAGTTCTTTTTTTAATAGACCGCCTCTCTGGCTCTGGCCAATCTGAGCAGGCTTTTTACTAGAACACAGTGTACATGTTCTGTACCCGAAACTACACTGTGTTCTAGTAAAAAGCCTGCTCAGATTGACCAGAGTCTATTAAAAAAAGAACTGGTATTGCCTCGGAAGTGGGGGGTAGTCTTATACAGTGAATATAGGCCTAAACTTATGTTTTAACTGTAAAATTAGGGGTCGTCATATACGCCGGAAAATACGGTAGTAGTTGTATGAAAAGGTAGTTTGTGGGAAAGTGTGAAGTTTTTAATCAAATAGTGAAATGACCGGAACATTGATCTTAGCTAACATGTTTAATTCCAATTAGTTAACTATCTGGAAAGTCTTAAACAACAGAGTAGAATTCTCTAGTAACAAATGCATATCTTTTATGAGCAATAACATATTAGCCCCCTCCATATATGTACATACATGTATAACATGAAAAATTATTATGACACTACTGAGCTACTAGTCTAGAGACTTTGATATAAAATTTAAATTGTATATTCTAAGGGAGTGTCATTACTCTATTTAAATGTGGGCCATCAACAATGATCACTAGCATAATTTATGTCTCAACTTGAGAAATTTTCATTTGTTTATTCACATTAAACATTTTCATTTGTTAATTCACATTAAACATTATAGAAATATTACCTTCTATTTGAACTTCAATAGTAAGATGAAGTACTACATTTCAATTGCTTTGAATTGAATACAGGTCTGCTCTCCTAACATTGGTATCTTTTAAACTAAAAAATATGATACATAAATTTATAAAATATTTTTAATTAATGGGTTTTATTCCTAAAATTTAATTAAAACTTCCATATAAAAATATATTTGCCTTAAATTTTGGAAAGTGATTTGAGAAATCAAAAGATACAAGAATCAGTATTTAGGTGTGATTTCTGTATCACATAAACATATTGACATAAAAACAGAAGAAACAATAAATATTTCTCAATTAGCATTGAGATCTATAATTTTATGAGAATAAGCTAATAATTTTCTGATCTCTTAATGAATTGAGGAATTCAGAACATTTCTCTTTACAGGAACTACCAGAAATAGGAGGCAAAAGATGGCAGTAGTGAGTCGTTCCAAGATCTAACACTACACATGATCTCCTTGCTTTAATTTTTCAATATTACCCACGTGTGCATTTAATAATAGCTTAAGTTACAAATTATTTTAGAAGAATAAAAATCACAAATGTCCCAAAGGAATCAAGCACAGAATAAAATAAATCTAAGTAGTGAAGGGCATCACTGATTTCCTTAAATACCCACCTCGTATTCCCTCTAAAGAAGTCTATAGGGACTGTCTATGGGTTATTTCGAAGGATCGCAATTAGAAAATCAGGTGTATGATTGCTAATCTCAAAAGAGTGACTCTAAAAAAACTTCAGAAAACAATTTTCTTAACTTAGATCTATATAGGCATAAAAGACGCACACTGTCGGTATAGTATCTATGCATCTGTTTCAAATTTAATCCAAAATGTAACTGATCTGTGCCCCCCACCTCCCGCAAATGACTTCTTGAGTTAAAAGATGCAAAGAAGAGTGTCTAAAAAAAAGAACAACAATCTGACTGAAGCTAAGATGGGTACAGAGAGCATCCTTTCAAAAGTAATGTGGCCTAATGGATACAGTGTTGCTAATTCGTCTTGTACCAAGTACTCCACAGTAATTGACCGGCCTTTCTGACAACTAAAGTAACAAATGTAGTTCAACATGTGCTGAAAAATGGCCCTGCAGTGTCTTCCCTCATGGGAATCCGGGCCATTTCAATATGGAGAACTACTTTGGGAGGCCAGACCAAGCCAGTCCATTCAGGTCCATCCTGGCAGTAGGAAGATTAAAAACAAACATTTGCACTGCTGTCAAAAGTCCGTGTCTAATCTGCTGCTCCTTGCTTTTACCCATTTAGCCCCTCTCAAAGTCTCCTCCTTTGCTCTTACTTAAAGTTACATTTTAACTTACTTCAAAGCATAAAAAAGAATAGCCCTGAATAAATAGTCCAGTCATTTGCCTTTGCTGGACAATGTCTGCTGACACAAGAGAAGTACTTTGGTTGCTGAGACCCATCAGCCCCCAACTCCCTCTGATAACCATTTCCTGCATTCTTGTCTGCTTATCTGGGTCTCAGAAACCGGCTCTGGGGAGGGATGGAGTGGAGAGATCACAACCCCCGGCAGTCTTGTCTCTACAGGATCAGGGAGAGTGAGCTGTGGCCTGAGGGAGCCACTTGCCCCGGCCCCTGGGCAGGCTGTGCTCTGCTTGGGTGAAGGGGCAGGTGGAGGCCCAGAGGACTTTCTTGGCACACGGCATGGGTCTTGTTTCCTAACATGAGACTTTCACTGTTCACTACAGTGATTCTGCTTGCTGTATTTCACAGCAAGAGAGGCATGGATGGAGTCCATGAGCTGTCAAACCATGAGACGATCGGGAAAACCAATCTGAAAATTAAGAACGCAGTCCAGCGCATATGGAAAGACTATGGGAAAAGAACAGGTGAGGGGTTTCCGTTTTAGCCCTGAGAGGGGAATGAGGAGGAGAAGGAGGAAGAGAAAGTGGCAGAGGTGTGAAAGTAGAAAGAAGGACGAGTGGGAGCAGCAGGAGGAGAGCCCTGTCCTTGGAATGCATTCCAGGTCCAGACTAGACAAGGGTTTTCTTGCAGAAAGATTACCTCCACTCCAGATACAAAGCCAGAGGGGTTTTGTTTAGGGAGAAAGTCTTTCCATCTGTGAAAAGTATGTTTCCTCTAAGCACTGGAGGTGACTGCCAGATTGGACGGGCACCGTGAAGTGGGGTGGGGGTGGGGGGACCCGTGTGCGGATGGATGTCCTGCCTTCTTTGCTCTAGAACCCCAGGATCTGAGAGCATCCTTCTGCACCCAACAGCACGCACACCCACAAGCTCTTCTAGAACCCCCTCCGCCCTTGGCCCTTTGTTTGCAGCCTGACAGTGGCCCCACCACAACAAACAGCCAGCATCTGCTTTCGACCCGAAGGAACCGGCCCTTGGAGAACCGGTCCCAGGCCTCCCTGGTCCCTTCCAGCTCCAGCCGGGTTCCCCAGCATCCTTCTTCCCATCTCGGGGCCAGGGCGTGTGCTCCCGAGGATGCTCGGCCCTCTCCCAGCCCGGTCCTCCTCCCCTCGCTCCCGCTGCCGCCCTGCTGCCTGGAAAACCAGGAGAAGTGGAACGCGCGCTGCCAAGCCTGGCGCTCTGGCGGCGGCACTGGGCATGCTCGGTGCCCGGGGCAGCTTTGGGCGGCGGGGCGGACGCTCCCTCAGTCGCCGGGCGCCCGAGCCGGCCGCCGGGGCATAGGCGGAGGCGGAGGCGGAGGTGGAGGAGCCGCGGGAGGAGCCTCGCCGGCGGCGGCGGCGGCGGCGGCGGCGCAGGTGGCGCGGGCGGCGCGCGGGGCGCACTCGGGAGCGCTCGGCGCCGGGCGCCGCGGCGGCTGCAGGCTCGCGCCCGTGGCGGCACCGGCCGAGCGGAGCGGCGGGCGCGGCGGCGGCAGCTCCCCAGCCCCGCGGTGCCCGGAGCCGGGGAGGCGTCCGGAGGAGCCGCCGGGAGCCCCCAGGAGCCTCGAGCCGGCGGAGCGCGCGGAGCCGGGCAGGGGGCGCTGCGCTCGCCGCGCGGAGGGGCCGCCGGGCCGGGCGCCGCGCACCCGCGCCGGGAGCCGCCTCTCCCCCGCGGCGCTCGCCCGGCTCCCGCCGGCAGCCTCGTCCCGCGGCGGCGCCCAGACAACAAAAGCGGAGGATGCTGCTGCCGCTGGGCAAGGTCAGGACCTTGCCCTGAAGCCGGGCGGCGGCGCGCACGCCTCCCCCGCCCCGGACTGAGGAGCTGTCGCTCGCGGCGGGTGCATGTTCGCCAAGAAGAAACCGGGCGCCGCGCCGTTCGGTGAGTTGCCTGCGCCGGGCGGCCGGGGCCAGGCGCGTCCTTCTCCGCGGCGTCCTCCTCCTCCTCCTCCTCCTCCTCCTCCTCCTCCTCCTCCTTCTCCTCCTCCTCCTCCTCCTCCTCCTCCCCCCGGCCACCGGTGGGGGTTGGTCCCGGGCTCCGGCCGGCGCGGTGGCGGCTGCCTGGTCCCGATCGCCGGGGGAGGACCGCGATCGCGCCGGGTCCCCTCTCGGAGGAGGCTCCGCTGGGATGGGGGCCCGGGCCAGTGCCTTGCTGGGAGCGTTTACCAAGTGGCTTCTCCGCGTGCTCCCCCTCCTCCCCGCCAGCCTTCTCCCCCGGAGGAGGAGGCGTATATAGGGCAACGCTAACCATACTGCTCCCTGCCACCGTCCAGCACATACACGCTGCATACATGACGTCCCTCACAGCGAGGAGAAGACGGGTGGGGGTGGGGAGGACTTCCCTCCAGTCTCTTGCCCTTATGTTCAATGTCATTAGGATGTGTGGCTAGAACAACATGGACATACTTAGTCCTATGCATCCAGGGCCGTGTCTTGGGTCTCCGGCCGCTTGCCAGCCCCACAGCCCCCCTCGGTCTATATTTAGCGGCTTCCGAGCAAGCATTTTTTTTTTTTTTCCAGCTCGATTCACAGGTTTCGGGGGCTTCTGCGTCCTGACAATAGGTAGCGAGGTTCTGGGAAGCAGCGCCGCCTGAACCCCAGGTTTGCAGAGCTGGGGACTGCGTGCGGGGAGACTGCGATGCGATGTTTGGGTGACCGGTAATTCATGGCGAAAGGAGAGCCGCTGCTCCTTTTTTTTGCAGACCTGCCTCCGATTCTGGGGTGTAATGTGTTTCCATCGATTGCTGCTCAGCCGCTTGGAGCCACTACTACGTTCAGAATTAAGTCATTAGATGTGGTGCAGCCTCCCTGGTCTGCATGGCAGGAAAACAGTCTCAGGGATGGCTGGCGTGTGTGTGTGTGTGTGTGTGTGTTTCCCACAAAGAACAGTTACTTCCAAAACGCCCAAAGTTGTGTGTCCCTGTCAGTGTGGGGGCCATGAAGGGTGTGGGGAAAGAGAAAAAGAATGCAGGTTGTGGGGCCAAGATGTGTTCCCCCTTGTGTGCCTCCTTTGAAAGACCCGATTTGCTTTGGCTCTGAAAGGTGGTAGTCACAGGCATGCCTACTGTTATCAAGTCAATAGGTTGGTTTAAGAAAAAGCGATCTGTTAGACATAGTGCTGGCTCTGACAGGCAGGGATGTTCACTTTTAGGAACTGTGTGCCCAGTATCCTAAACGCTGGGGATTTTCTGCAGCGACTTCCCCGGAAACAGGGAGGTGCTGAAACTACCGAAGAGTTACCTCATTGTGCATCCCTACAGTCGCAGCTTAGGCTGCTGCTGGTAGTTCAGTTCATCGCTTGGCTGTTACTAATTCACCTACGGGATTTAAAGATTTTGGAGTTGCACCACTTCTAAAATCCCATGAAGTGTTTCATACGACCATAATCGAGTTACAGGGATGAAACTGCATGATTCTGGGGCCTCGCTCTCGAAGTGTGACAGATAGGGGTGGGACATCCTCAAATATGGACTAGCTGCTTTAAACCGCTATGAAATCTCTTTGCCACATGCAGAATCCATTTTCTCTGTTTTGGGGAGAATGCTGAGTGGCATCCTTACTGGTCTGTGGGTTGCAAGATCTGAGGGCTTGAATGGAGATGGTTGCGTTTGGAGTCAGATGTTGAAATTTGGGAGTCCTGTAATCAGACAGCTAACACGTCTCAGCATTGCAGAACGGTTAGGAAGGTTTGTACAGCGTGAGTTAAGTGGATAGAGTGATTCGGTTTACCAATATTGCTTTAGTTTCACCTCTTCCCACTCGAGAACTTTACAGGAGCACTTTGAGCATGGTATTTTGCTCGTTGCATTGCTTTGATATGAAATTTCTTTCAAAACCAAGCAGTATGTAAAGACGTCCATTTTTCTCTTTTCTTAATTTGAGTCTGAGGTTACAGTTTTAAACATGGTTCTTAAAGGGCTAGTAGATATTGTTATGTGCCTATATGTGCAGACAGAGAGCAGCTGAGAGGCATGGGAAAAACGACATGTACTGTATAGGTGGGTTTTATGTTATGTTGCGGATTGAAAGTGAGAGTGCCTTATTGAATGGCAGTTATAGGAGTTACATGAGGTTGTTGCTTTAATAGAATTGTCATAGCCTTGTGGAATGAAGTTATTTAATTTGGTGTGTGTTTGTGTAGTTGTATAACCTAATCATTATAGATGTCGCTAATGTTTTCATTGTAATAAAAGTCATGGACTGTCAAATTACAGTGTTTCCATCAACTTCACATCTTTCACTGTAGAATACAGGCCAATTCCTTCTCCCAGTGAAATGATTCGCCAGAGAGAAAAATGAAATTCAAATGATATTAGTTTGGAAATGCAGTTATATTTTTGTTAAATAATTTCTAAGGGAAATATCACTTTCATAATGACCATTAAAATTTAAAAAAGAAGTAATATTATTCTCAAATATAACATTAGTTTTGACATTTGAATATACAATGCTCTTTCTGAAGATGTTATAGAACTCGCTTTACCAGAGTTGTCTTTTGTGTAGTATGCATGCATGAGGCAGAAAAGAGTTCTCCAGAGTAATTTCATCAGGTTGTCTGTCCTTATGTAAGAAACAGTAAAATTACATTTTAAATAATTTATAGCAGTTTGTCCATAAATCCAGTATCCTTTGAATGAACTAATGCATCTGGTTGTAACCAGCCGATTGAAATAAAATGGGAAATGTTGCAAAGTGTGCTCTTTGATTTTTCTGATGATTAACCTTAAGAAGATAAGGAGCATCCATTTATGCTTGTTTCTCTGTAACTATTATGTCCACTTTTTTTGGTAGGTAATCAGCAATGCTAGTATCACTCTTCCTAAAAAGTTTCAATTTAAAAAAATAAAGATTGGTTGAGAGTCCTTTCACCTGAACGCGGTAATTCAGAGGATAAAAAGGTACCCAGAGAAAACAGGCAGATATCTTTAAACCCAGTACTTCTGTAGATGACTTAGTACAATAGGTCTTTGCTGGCTGATTTACAAGTCAAACTCCTCCCTTGGTTTCCATGATGGGTTTCCTCATCCACAGTGTGAGGTTGTCCTCAGGGCTACATACTCCGAAGGCTCCGTGATACCTGTTGTGTGGATGTGGGAGGAAAGTTAATTTGAGTGGGGAGAGTTCATGATACTTGTTGCTGGCTTCAAGTTTATCTGATTATGCGCCAAAGCAACAGCTTTTATATTAATGTAAAATATTAAACATGTCATAGATAAATAGTTTCTATCACATTGTCTGCCAATCTAGCTTACTGATTAAATAAACTGCCTGGTTGGGTTTAATGAATCCAATTATAGTCACAAACAGTACTTTCAGCACAGGAAACTCACAGATGTATTTTATCATACGTGCTTTTAGTCCATTAAAAGTGTGAAGGCTGATAACAAAAATATGCAGTTATGACACCTCTAGTTGTTTATCTTTTGATCACATAGCAGTTAAGTGTAATTTCAAGCTCTGCATCATGGTTAATTGATTTGTAGGAAATGCCCTAGCCATATTAGGATATTGAAGTTATACTCTGTATCAATTAGTTTTTGACAAATTGGAAAAAATGGCTAAATAAGTGAAACAGTGTTTTCTAGAAGCTTCCTATGTGAGACAAATATTCACCTGTATCCCTTGGCGAGATTTTTGAAAAGTTATCTGTAAAAGGAATTACATATTTCAAAATTTATTATTCCATTAATTGTAATTTTAAGTCAGAGATATATTTCTAGAGAAAAGTTGAGCTCTGCCCTACAATGAAAAAAATATATACAATGTTGTAATAGATATTAAAATATTGGAATATATATATATATATATATATATATATATATATATAAAATGCTGTTTGGGATTCTGTTTCAGGTAGGTGCTGAGATGTGGAGAGAGCAATGGCTTTGGAAGAATCCTAGCTCAGTCTCTTCTTAGCTCAGGCCTTGGCCATTTATATGATACTCAGATTTTACTTCAGTATTACTAGCTATAAAATGGGTACAATAAGACAAAAGATAGGTTTTGGGATAAAGTAAGTGAGTATATAAGGAACTTGTAAATTATAAACATTTGTAGAAACACAAGAGATCTATATACACATATTAAGATGGATACTATGCTTCATTTTCATTTATGTATTATAAAAATATGTTCTATAGGCCACCACTCTGTAACAAAGGCTATTATATGGAAATATTCTCACCCTACCCATATTTTAATATTACTTCATTATGTATATTTGCATATAAAATATATAAAATATTCTAATCTGAAATGTAACAGTCATATATATATATAATATTTAAACAAAAAGAGAAGTAAATGACACAAGCCAGCATCATTATTGAAAAATATTTCACCCTAATAGTCAGAAATGGCAGAACTTTGTTACGCTTTGTTTTTTTTAACCCTCACCCAGGGATATGTTCCCATTGATTTTAGAGAGAGAGGAGGGGTGAGAGAGAGAAACATAGATGGGTTGTCTCTCACATGCGCCCTGGCTAAGGATCAAACCCATAACCTTGGTATGTGCTCTGATTGGGACCAGAACTCACCACCTTTTAGTCTGTGGGACTATGCAGCAACCACCTGAGTCACCCAACCAGGGCAGACCTTTCATAGTGATTAAGATGAAATGTTCTACAATAATTAACATGGTACCAAGGATAATATAGACAATTTAATAAGCATCACTCTTGGATGAGGTCAAATGTAAAATATCTGCTCTGCTTAGAACCACAGAGCATGAGTTCCATCATAATATCATTGTGACATAGAAAAGAAACTATTTGTTTACCTAATAAATAGAAGGCTACAGCATCTCATCCCACTCCACTCCACTCCACTCCACTCCACTTCCTGTTATACTCAAGTTCCTAAAAAAATAAAGTGTGTGCATTG